CGTGCTGGACCGTTATAGAAATTGGCTAGAATTAATGTCGGACAGTTTAAGATCGTGTCAAACTGTTGTAGAAATTAGCCGGAACTAATGCCAGGACAGTTTAAGGTCGTGTTAGACCAATGGAAAAACTGGATGTTGAACTAGAAAACGTGGCACACACATAACTTATGACGTGATGCTAAACCGTGATGGCAACAGATGACATTGTGCGCTAAGGGGCGACTTATGAGAAAGTGCGCCAGAGGGCGGCTTAGATGGTGCTCCAAGAGACAGCTTGGATGGTGCTCCAAATAAGGCAACTTAGATTGTGCGCTAAAGGAGACGGCTTAGGTGGTTCACATGGTATATTACCGTACTCACTATAATACATGTATAACACCCCCATCCTCAAACTCAAATAGGTTTGAAGATAGAAACCTATTTGAGGTTGAAACAGAGGGAAAAACAAAGTGCAGCAGAAACACACGACAAAAATATATATATATATATGATAGAGATATTTGGGATAGGAATAAATTAGTGGATAGATGAAGAGATCATCATGAAGCGATACTGAAAAGAAAATATGGCAGCGGAATAGGTTAAGGTCTGACGGGTGACTAACGCAATGCCGCCGCCCACCAATAAAACAAAATTATTAGGTACTTAACCTATCTCTGATACCATGTGACAATATCAAAGAGAGAGAAAGAAATTTGTTTTATATTGAATGTCATGTTGAATAATTACGTAACAATGTATATAAGATTCTTTTATATGGGATGAGAGAAACCTAAATATGGTAATCCTAAGAATGGTAATGAATACAATATGGTATGTATGATAGACATAATATATAGTTACTATATTTAATAATTTGGGTGTTGAGTTTTTAGGAAAATAAAAAAATTAAGGCCTTGTTTGGGTTTTATTTTTTTAGTAATTTTTTAATTTTTAATTTTTATGAGGTGAAAAAAAAAAATTAATATGTTTAGAAATGATTTTTTAAGTTGTATGAACAAATGTGAATAAGTGGTGTGTTTAATTTTTTATTTTTTTTTCTTTGAACGTTTTATTTTTTAGCTTTTAGTGACTTTTGAATTTTGATTTTTTTTGTCCAAACTTTTAGTGAATAGCCAATTGTGTCCGAATTTTTTGGCCTTTAGTGATCGTTTTTCAAAGTTATATCAATTTTTTTTTTTTTTTATTTCCTTATCAAGTCTGTCATGTAGACAAATTTAAAAAGTAAAAATAAAAATAAAAATAAAAATAAAAGGTTCATTCCACCAAAAAAAAGAGAGACCAAAAAAGCTAAATTTTAAAAAAAATAATAAAAAAATTGTAAATGTTCATATCAGTGTAGACGAGGAGAACCCCAAACATAGAAAGTTTTTCGAAAATTTTAAAAAAGCTCACTAAAAACTGAAAAATAAAAAAAAATACACTAATAAAGTTAACCCCAAACACCTCCCTCAATTTACTTTATTTGTAATATGATTGTCTTTCGTAATTTTTTTTCCTAAAAATTTTAATTGAATATTTTATATTAATTAGAAAATTTTAGCTGAATTTTATCATCCCCTTTTGAATTAGACAAATTATCTCAACAATTCTCCACTCCCACCTTGTCCCCACCGTAACAAATTTGGAGAAAAGAATGGAGGACTACAAATTCACCCGACGACTCCCCGCAAGCTGGCTGGAGCCTAAAGCAATTGAATTAAAGCAATGGCTTTAGGCCTCAATTGCAAAAAGGCCCTAAAATCTTCATATATAACTATAAGTCAAATATAATTTAATTATTCTCCACAAAACCAACACAAGAAAAAAGAAAAAAGATATTATACTCCCATGAGCATAATACAAGTTTTAAAATTTTGATAACAATGTCCATCGATTTTATATATGTTGTCATATGCACACTTTATTTCTTTTTTTTATTTTTTATTTATAAATAAAGGTTCGCATTGACAAGGGCTCCATAAATTTTAAAAACTTTATAATATATAATTTTAAGAAACCTCACTTTAAAAGAGGTCCCCACTAATTTAAAATAGGTTCTACAAACTTTTCTTAGTTTTCGCTTTGAATTTATAAATTTTATTTCTTTGATAACTTTTTGGTACTTTTAATTTCTTTTCTTTTTCATAGCTAAATATTTTAAGTAACTTCTAAATTTTATTTATGAGAATGGAAGAGACATGAATTTTACATGATAATTTATTAAAACTAGTAAATATTATTTACATTTATATTTAAAATATAAAAACTCTTGCAATAAAATTTTGCTTTAAGCCTTGTGGAGGTTTAAGCCGGCCCCGGCTCCCCATTGCCATTCATACTAATGGTTGTACAATATAAAAGCAAAATGAAAATACTTCTCTTTAATTTTCTTTTTCTTTTTTTCTTTTTTCACAAACATCTCTATAAAGCAAACTTTAAACGCAATCTAAGGGCAATTAGGCGTACATTTTATGCAAATTTGTGTCAAAACTGTCTATAACTCTGACAACTAGATTTAATCCTTTGTTTGGTTGATTTTTCAAATATTGAATTTTGTTTTTTTGTTTTGTTTTTGTTGGTTTGTTTGTTTGTTTTTTCAAAAACTAGAAAGTAGTACTAATTTGGTAAAAAAGAAGAAAAAGGTTAATTTGAATATATTTTTTTTTATGCTTATTTTCATTAAACTATTTTCGGATTTTAAAAAATAATAATAATAGCCTTTGAAATCTAAACCAAAGGGTGTGCAAAAGGTTTTGTTCACACCTTACTTTCGATAAATATTCAGTAATTTTTTCACTGTCTCTTAAGATTTTTATTTTTTCACTTTGACCCTTCACTTTTCAAATTCTTCTTGGTTTGCTCATAAAATTAATTTTTGTTCAAAATTAGTCCAAAAATATAACGTTAATTGCTACATAACAAAAAAATTATATTGGGATTTGAATTTGTGTCAAAAGTGATATATATATATATATATATATAATAAAATATTTTTTTTATCTAAGGGCGAATTACACTAACGGTCCTTATAGTTTGGGACTTGTATCACTTTGGTCCATGATTTTTCAATTGTAACATATTTAACCTTGAACTTTGAATCTTGTTCTAAATAAGGACAATTGAATATACTATTGTTTAATTTCAATGACAAAATCGTCAATTTGATAAAATATAAACTAATTTGATAAAAATACATGTCAAAAAAATATTTTTGAATATTTAAAAAATATTTTTACCCACTTAAGATAAAATTATGTAAAATTGATAAATCTTTTAGACATTTATATATTTATATCAAATTAATTTTTATTATATGTTTGGATGATGATCGTGTAATGGGTAGTTTTTATTTTCATTAAATTAGTTTTTATTTTTTGAAAACTTAAATGTGGCGACAACTTTAATATCATTATTAAACCAATCCATTAAATGAAAAATCCAAAACTAAAAATTTTCATATGTTAGATATATCGATTACACATTATAATCTTAACAACCACTCATTACATGATCATCATCGAAACACGTAATAAAAATTAATTTAGTAAAATAAATAAATAAATAAATGTGTAAAAGATTTATCAATTTTACATAATTTTATCTTTGATGGGTAGAAATAATTTTTTAAAATTTAAAAATATTTTTTAACATTTATTTTTGTCAAATTAGTTTATATTTTATCAAATTAACTATTTTGCCCTTGAAATTAAATAATAGTTTCTTCAATTGTCCTTATTTGGAACAAGATTCAAAATTCAGGATCAAATGTGTCACAATTGAAAAGTCATTGACCAAACTGACACGAATCCCAAACTATAGAGACTGTTAGTGTATTTCGCCTTTTATCTAATGTTAGACATTAGTTAATTTTTATTGTGAATTAAAGAAAACATGAAATATAAATAGTCAAAATAAGGAAAACAAAAATAAACTTAAAAGCCAAAATAAAAAAGATGCACAAACACAAAAAATAACAAAGTGTAATTTACTCAATCTAAATTATATTAATCCAACAATGCTAGAAACGCTATATATATATATTTAGATACAGAATTACATGCGCACCCCGCGCAAACACATGGACACAAACAAAAGATGTTTGGTAGGTGGGAAACTAGAAATGCTACTTTCTCGGAATTTTTCAGTTTTTTCTCTCTTTCAATCAGAATCCCAAGACACAACAATAATACTAATAATAATAATAGGATAGGGTGACATTTGCGCACCACTACTATTACAATTTGTCCTTTACATTCTTTCTTCTTGCGCATTGAAATCAAAGATGGGCTGAAAAGTAAGCGAGTAGGCCCACCAACGGTGCATTAATATACGTAGTGGGCTCGGACTCCTGAAAGAACGGCCTTGAGTCCGGAAAAGAATCGGAGCTGTTGGGCCCACCAACAACAGCCCCGACCAACACATTGTTATTTTTTCAAAACTCAAATATGGCGACAACTTTAATATCATTATTAAACCAATCCATTAAATAAAAAATCCAAAACTAAAAATTTTCATATGTTAGATATATCGATTACACATTATAATCTTAACAACCACTCATTACATGATCATCATCCAAACACATAATAAAAATTAATTTTGTAAAATAAATAAATGTGTAAAAGATTTAACAATTTTATATAATTTTATCTTTGATGGGTAGAAATAATTTTTAAAAATTTAAAAATATTTTTAACATTTATTTTTGTCAAATTAGTTTATATTTTATCAAATTGACTATTTTGCCTTTGAAATTAAATAATAGTATCTTTAATTGTCCTTATTTAAAACATGATTCAAAATTTAAGGTCAAATATGTCACAATTGAAAAGTCATGAACTAAACTGACACGAATCCCAAACTATAGAAACTATTGATGTATTTCGCCTTTTATCTAATGAGTCAAAACATGAAATATAAAGAGTCAAAATAAGAAAAACAAAAATAAACTTAAAAGCCAAAATAAAAAAAGATGCACAAACACAAAAAATAACAAAGTGTAATTTACTCAATCTAAATTATATTAATCCAACAATGCTAGAAACGCTATATATATATATTTAGATACAGAATTACATGCGCACCCCGCGCAAACACATGGACACAAACAAAAGATGTTTGGTAGGTGGGAAACTAGAAATGCTACTTTCTCGGAATTTTTCAGTTTTTTCTCTCTTTCAATCAGAATCCCAAGACACAACAATAATACTAATAATAATAATAGGATAGGGTGACATTTGCGCACCACTACTATTACAATTTGTCCTTTATACATTCTTTCTTCTTGTGCATTGAAATCAAGGATGGGCTGAAAAGTAAGCGAGTAGGCCCACCAACGGTGCATTAATATACGTAGTGGGCTCGGACTCCTGAAAGAACGGCCTTGAGTCCGGAAAAGAATCGGAGCTGTTGGGCCCACCAACAACAGCCCCGACCAACACATTGGGATTTGGGTTTGGACTTAGATAGTAGAGAGATCCTTCTTTGCACCCTATGTGGGCCGGGTGGGCCTGCACTGATGGTAGTGAGCTGCCCCTGTGGTGTATCCTCTCTGGGTACCGTTCACCGTATCCTACCATGTACGACATTCTCATTGGATTATCCCCTAGAATGTAGTCCACCTGTACACGCCCCACCCCACAAATATTATGTCACATCTTTATAAAATTATGAAATGCAATGATATATACTCACTTTCTTCATAATTAATGAAAAAATTATCACAAGTTTTTCTTTAATTAGTTGGACATATTTTTTAAATATCAAATAACTTCTTGTTGATCTATAGGTGGTGTTTGGCAAGTGATTTTGGGGTTAAAATAGCCACAAAAAACAAAATAGACCATTTTAATCACAACAAACAAAACATCACGTCCAACTCATAATCATTACACTCTTCTCTCACAAAAAAAATCAAAAAAGTCAAAAAGTCAAAAAAAATTTCCCAAACCAAACTTTTTAGCCTAGGTTAAAATAGCCAAAAAGTTAAAAAGCTAAAAAACCAACCCACTTCCCAAACGGAGGCATAGTATTATACATAACGCACAGTTTAAAAGGTTTTGAAATTTTATAAATTTTTCTTTTTAAATATCCATCTTGTTAACTGTTTTAGAAAATAATGGTTAGCAGTTATCAAATTCAATTAATCTTCATCTATCAATTCATCAAAAAATTTAGATATAATTATACTACACATGCACAATTTTTATTTAAAATTTTACCTAAAAATATCAAGATATGGTTCACATAATCTGCATATAGACCAATAAAATTTCGACCACACCTTCCATTTAAGACCATATTCTTGTCAAAATTTTTGGTTACCAGAGTTTGCCCACTATTATTGAATAAACATAGTCACATGGTGTATTTTGAAAACACAAGATAAATTCTCATTTATATATATATATATATATATATATATATATATATTTTCTATTATATTTACATAATTTACTTGGTGAAGTTATGTTACATATTTTTTTCATGCTCAAATTATTCCTATATTTTGTCCAAATATTTATTTCAAACTTTAATTTCTTTTAAAAAAAAAATTCTTTCATTTATTTTTAGATGACAAATCGTTTCTTATTTCTATAAATACGTCACCTGCGTGCCTAGAGTGTATTACATTGAGGAAGTGAATTCCCTCTAATCTATAATCTAGGTTGGGGGATATTATTTGGGCTAGTAGAGTTAATTATAGGTCATGTTTTCATAATCTGAACTATTTATTTTGTGAGTCACATTGCGTATATTATTCATATAAAAAAATTTAATTGATCCGATAATTGTAACTTATTCAATTTTTTATATTTATTATTTTAAAAAACAAAAAGAGAATAATTATGATTCTAAAAATATACAAAAAATTTGTGACAAACGTAATAAATTAATAGGTTACGATTATCAAATCAAACTATTTTTTTTTTTTATAAATAATATATGCGAATTTTCTGATAAATTGAATAATTTGAACCATTAAAATAAGATTCATATATCTCATAAATCCAAACAACAATTATAGACGAACCGGAAGTGCAATTATAGACCGGAGAGAATCAATCTCCTATAGATGTATGTCCCCAGTACACCTTAATTAAGAATAATATTAGGAATACTAAATTTTCTATCAAATATCTTATATAGGAGTTCAGACCCATATAAAACATTTAGTCATTTATTTAGTAGAAAATTTGAAACTTATATAGTGTATTTCCTTAATTAATTGGATCATAAATAAAATGCGTGGGCAATGTGGACCATCTCAATGATTACAGTGATCGTCCACAGATTAGATGGTGATGGGGAAGGGAAGGGTATATGTGAACAAGGAGAGACAGATAGTTACCTGACGTTTGGCTAGTTGTTTGAGCAGAGCAGGGGAGGCAGATCTTCCGCCACATGGCACCACATGATTGGAGTGGCTCAAGTAATTAGAATAGGCCAGAAGTAGGAACGATAAAGATGTTACATGCTGCATGTTACTCCCTCCAGCCTTGAAGATCAGCCCACCTTTTTCCAAACAGGATCAAGACAAACTTCAATCAAATTTTGATATAATGGAAACCAAATAATATTTGCAATGTCAAAAAGAAAAATAATATTCTCTTTTGCACCAAAAGGTGATTTATTTATTTGTTTCTAAATGTAAGAATCAGAACTTAGATTCCCAATCCCTCTTTTGCTTTGCTATATCAACATGTCAAAAAGCATAATAAAATTTACATTGTTATCATTAGCAGAGATTTTTTTATATTTTTTTTTAGATTGGATCAGAATTACAGATTTAAGTAATGAAATATGGACTACAATTTAACTCACATACATGATTACACGAAAGCAAGAAATGTAGTAGTCTAAAAATACATAAAGTGATCACACAATAGATATGGATAGATAAAATGTTTTAGATGTGTATCTCACTAATAAATTTATAAAATCTTAGGAAAATGCCTCCGAACCCCAGTGGGGTGCTGGGGGTCGTGCGTGTAGGGCCCTGATTGGGCGGAAAAAAAAAAATTGTTTTTTTTTTTCAGCCAATGAGGGCGTGCCACGTCACTAGGGGTCTGTAGCATTGTTCAAAATCTTATCTATTCCTGTTCATAAATATTATATGTCTAATTATCATAGTATATGGGGTTTTATCATAGTATATGGGGTCTAATTATCACAAAAAGACAAATTTTTTGCAAAACCAAAAAAAACACATCCAAACAAAATATCACATCCAACCTCATAATCATTTCACTTTTTCTCTCACAAACATCGCATCCAACCACAAAAAAACCCAACTATCTTTCCAAACATAAATTTTTTTTTTCCAATAATATCCTACAGCTAAAAAAACTTCCATAAAAACTCACTTCCTAAACACCCACATGTAATATAAAAGTTGATTATAGACAGACTAGCGTAATTTTAAGGTTGTGACTAATTAAGTAAACTCTAAAATAAATTTCCAAGGAAGACTAGAGCTTGCAATTGCTTTTATGTACCTGGAGAGTATTGAACTTGAGGATGAGAAATTCCGGGTAATATAGAACAGATGAAGTTATCCGCATTGAGCTGAAAGGATTTTAGCTCATCGTCCTTGCCCATCAACACTTCCTGTGGCAGAAACAGTGTCATCAGAATCAAAACTGCGAAAAGAATATTATATCTTTGCCAACCTAAATTCCCGATTGAACGACAAAATGTCTGAGTATATTAAGTCACCATTTATATATGGATATATAGATATATAACTTTGTTATGGTAATAATATTAAAGTGCAAATTTTAGCAGTACAATACTAGATCACAGCAAAATGGAAATGTCTAGCAGTAGTAGTAGCTCAATTCCATTTAAGGACCCACAAATGAGTAAAAGCGCTGATATGAGATTAACAATTAATAAATGTGTGAAACTGACTATGTATTGCCCCGAATCTGAATCTCCCAATGAGAAAACTGGTGAGAAGTCCCAATCACTTTCAGCAGAAGTCATTGAATTGAAATTAATAGCTGAGTATGGCAAGAGCTGTGTTGTTCATGCTCAAATTATTCCTATTTTTTGTCCATATATTTATTTCAAACTTTTATTTCTTTTAAAAAAGAAAAAAAAATTCTTTCATTTACATTCAAATTATTTTTAGATGACAAATCGTTTCTTATTTCTATAAATACGTCACCTGCGTGCCTAGAGTGTATTACATTGAGGAAGTGAATTCCCTCTAATCTATAATCTAGGTTGGGGGATATTATTTGGGCTAGTAGAGTTAATTATAGGTCATGTTTTCATAATCTGAACTATTTATTTTGTGAGTCACATTGCGTATATTATTCATATAAAAAAATTTAATTGATCCGATAATTGTAACTTATTCAATTTTTTATATTTATTATTTTAAAAAACAAAAAGAGAATAATTATGATTCTAAAAATATACAAAAAATTTGTGACAAACGTAATAAATTAATAGGTTACGGTTATCAAATCAAACTATTTTTTTTATAAATAATATATGCGAATTTTCTAATAAATTGAATAATTTGAACCATTAAAATAAGATTCATAAATCTCATAAATCCAAACAACAATTATAGACAAACCGGAAGTGCAATTATAGACTGGAGAGAATCGATCTCCTATAGATATATGTCCCGAGTACACCTTAATTAAGGGTAATGTTAGGAATACTAAATTTTCTACCAAATGTCTTACATAGGAATTTAGACCCATGTAAGACATTTGGTCATTTATTTAGTAGAAAATTTGAAACTTATATAGCGTATTTCCTTAATTAATTGGATCACAAATAAAATGCGTGGGCAATGTGGACCATCTCAATGGTTAGGAGGTACACAAGACAAGAATTATAGCCGTTGATGTTGTCTGATTACAGTGATGGTCCGCAGATTAGACGGTGATGGGGAAGGGAAGGGTATATGTGAACAAGGATAGACAGATAGTTACCTGACGTTTGGCTAGTTGTTTGAGCAGAGCAGGGGAGGCAGATCTTCCGCCACATGGCACCACATGATTGGAGTGGCTCAAGTAATTAGAATAGGCCAGAAGTAGGAACGATAAAGATGTTACATGCTGCATGTTACTCCCTCCAGCCTTGAAGATCAGCCCACCTTTTTCCAAACAGGATCAAGACAAACTTCAATCAAATTTTGATATAATGGAAAACAAATAATATTTGCAATGTCAAAAAGAAAAAAAGAAAAAGAAAAAAAAGGAGAGAGATGGGGCATTTTATTCTCTTTTGCACCAAAAGGTGATTTATTTATTTGTTTCTAAATGTAGGAATCAGAACTTAGATTCCCAATCCCTCTTTTGCTTTGCTATATCAACATGTCAAAAAGCATAATAAAATTTACATTGTTATCATTAGCAGAGATTTTTTTATATTTTTTTTTAGATTGGATCAGAATTACAGATTTAAGTAATGAAATATGGACTACAATTTAACTCACATACATGATTACACGAAAGCAAGAAATGTAGTAGTCTAAAAATACATATAGTGATCACACAATAGATATGGATAGATAAAATGTTTTAGACGTGTATCTCACTAATAAATTTATAAAATCTTATCTATTTCTGTTCATAAATATTATATGTCTGATTATCATAGTATATCTTAATGTAATATAAAAGTTGATTATAGACAGACTAGCGTAATTTTAAGGTTGTGATTAATTAAGTAAGCTCTAACATAAATTTTCAAGGAAGACTAGAGCTTGCAATTGCTTTTATGTACCTGGAGAGTATTGAACTTGAGGATGAGAAATTCCGGGTAATATAGAACAGATGAAGTTATCCGCATTGAGCTGAAAGGATTTTAGCTCATCGTCCTTGCCCATCAACACTTCCTGTGGCAGAAACAGTGTCATCAGAATCAAAACTGCGAAAAGAATATATCTTTGCCAACCTAAATTCCCGATTGAACGACAAAATGTCTGAGTATATTAAGTCACCATTTATATATGGATATATTATTACCATAACTTTGTTATGGTAATAATATTAAAGTGCAAATTTTAGCAGTACAATAATAGATCACGGCAAAATGGAAATGTCTAGCAGTAGTAGTAGCTCAATTCCATTTAAGGACCCACAAATGAGTAAAAGCGCTGATATGAGATTAACAATTAACAAAGTTGAAAGGGAATGAATTAATAAATGTGTGAAACTGACTATGTATTGCCCCGAATCTGAATCTCCCAATGAGAAAACTGGTGAGAAGTCCCAATCACTTTCAGCAGAAGTCATTGAATTGAAATTAATAGCTGAGTATGGCAAGAACTGTGTTGTCTGCCTTTTTGCACATGCATGCAGCATGCAGCCTACTACTCACTTATTTTGGGACCTACCCAACGCCTCATCTAAAATAAACCCACATCACATGGCCTGCCCATGGTTTGGTTTTTTTTTATTTTTTATTTTTGGTTTCAAGATTTATATGTAATTTTTTTTTTTAATGATATGAGAAAATAGAGATATTACGCGATAAAAGTAAGTGAACTGACATATTAGGTGACAAATAATAAAGATAGAGATTATTAAATCTCGTCCATCTCATCTCGTCTTGCACCCCCCTTAGTAATCTCTCATATGAGAGTGTTGCAAGGTGCCATTGGATTGTAGCCACGGGTTCTAAGTTTTAGTTTAAGGATCGTAATTACAATTATATAACTAACCTATTTCAAGGAGTATGAAGGAGAGTTGTTATTCAATGGGACAATGTTAAAAGGTGCCATTGAATTATAGCCACTGGCTCTAATTTTTTAGTTTTAGGATCGCAAGTACAATTATATAATTAACCTATTTCTAGGAGTACGAAGGAGAGTTGTCATGCAATGGTACAAAATCCTCATCTTTCATTCATGACCTCTTTTTTAAACAGTAGACAATTGCCCTCCATCCTACAACAACACCCTTAAAAAATGGCATTTTTTCACTTTTGAAGTTTTGAGGGATTGACACTTTGTCATTTGTCAACAAAGTAAAAGTGCTCACATGGAACCCACAACCCTAAACTACATCATGTGCAATTATCAACTCTACATAGACCTTTACACTGTTTGATCTTGACTATTTTCTCGAAAAGCAATGGGGGGCCATCACTTTTATGGGACCCCGACCATGGTGGACCTCCACAACTCCAAAGTTATGATCCAGTCCTTCCGTACCATGTGATTTCGCAGACCAATATTGTAATTAGAAATGGTCCAAAAGCGAAAACAAAAATAAAAACAAAAACAAAAATACACAAGAGAATAAGAATAAGAGGTCACACAAATGAAGACAAGGATAAGTAGTAAAGACGAGTTGTAGCAGAAATTTATAGACGGAGTGTCAATACGGTATAACGCCATCCGGATTTTAATTAATTCGGGATTAAGATAGGGTCCTGACCTTGGAAACGAGAACATTAATCCCAGCGTGCTTGTTATCCCAACCGAATTCATTTATTGTATCACCAGCTCTCAAAATCACCTCGTTCTTGACTATGTACTCTCTGTATTCGCGCCGTCTTGATGCCTTGTGCAACCACGCCGCTCCCCAAAGCAACTCGTCCTACAATACAATATTGCATATGTTACACACATTGTTAAAGTCAGCAAGATCAACGGCAGTAGTTTTGTTGATGTTTTTAGGGAAAATTACAAGTCAGTGGTAGTTACAAAAAAATAATTATTAATTCATAAAAAAAGTTTAATATCTTAATTATTAACATTTATAGTATAAAATTTAGAGCCGTGCTACATTCTCTAATCAATAATGATAGAGAATTCTAATTTTAGAATTCTAAAAAGAGGTCTAGTGATGTGGCAGAAAAAAAACAAAACAAAAACATAGACACACGCATCACATCACATATAAGCCACACTCCTTGTCAGATCACTAAAGTTATTTTTAAAATTCTAAAATTAAAACTCTCAATTTTTATTCTTCTTTAATACATCATTCTTATTTTCACCTCTAATGAGGTAAAAGAGAGAGAATATAGAGAAGAGTGTGGTCCCCTTCACATGTTTGTTTCATGTCATTAGGAGTGGATTGAGATGCTCAATTAGAGCTCCAAATAATTTTTTTAAATTTATTATTGGTTTATAATTATTTTTTACAAAAACCACTAAAGTGATATTTCTTCATGTTTTTAACCCCTCAATCTGATAATTCGAAGCGTTGAGTCGCTTTTATTTATTTTTTAATGTTAGCTTTTATATTAAATGAAATTATTTTAATTCTTATTGTTTCAATTTAAATATTATGAGCTTTAAATTTTTAATTTAGTCTTTATATTCAAATTACTGTAAAACAAAATTTGTTTATACTTTTCATGTGACTCACAAGTGTTAGATTATCGTGAGTTTAACAATTCCTAAATTAAAACTGAATCTTAAAGTATATACTAGTTTAGCATTTTTTAAATTGAAACAATAAAGTAAAAAGTAAAAATTTAAATCAAATTAGAGTAATAAATTTTAAAAAATGCTACAGATTCTAAAAATTCTATCAAAATTTATATCAAATGTCTCACATGGGTGTGAGACGACCACATGATGTAAGTCTCATACTCATGTGACACTTGATAAAATTTTAATAAAACTTTTAAGATTTTTAATATTACTTATAAATTATTTCTTGACGGGCCTTAATTTTAAAGTGGTAGATTTGTAAACGAAGACTTACCATACAACTACATTATTCCACATAATTATTTTTACAAACATTTTTTTTTTCTATATATATATAATTGGTATAGTATTACTTTTTAGTTTAAAAAAATAAAATAAATTTGAAATTACATTTTTTATAATAATCAGTAATAAAAAAAATACTACAAAAATTACCTGGTAACCGCTTACGTCACAGTAAAAAGGGCAAACAGCGGAGCGGAGCGGAGTGCTGTACGCACCCCGGTATTTGTCAGCAAACTCGAACACCTACATGACCGTTTGACACAGAACGGTCAATTTTCTTCTACATAATATGTGTACGTGTATATATGGACTCGCATTTAATACAGGGAATGTAGAGGAAGCATGTTTTGCTACTGATGAATAACAATGCCACACACGCCTAGCAAAATCCATGTGAAATTTAAAATGCTAACTAAGCTAAATTATATAACGATGATGTTACTTATATCAATTAATATATATAATAGTGCATCACTAATATGTTAGAAATTGTAAAAATTTTATTAAATATTTTAAATGGGTGTGAGACTTACATAATGTAAATCACATATGAATTTTACATCTATATGAAATATTTAATAAAATTTTTAATATTTTTATATCTATTAATATATTAATATGTACATTAATTAACATATACAATATTATTCATTATATATAAGACCCCTCAACACCATTCATGCATGCCTTTTTCTCACATATAGTGCAAGTTTTTTAGCAAATTAGTATGGGAATGAGGTAATATAGTCTACTAATTTATGACAATGACATTTATGTAGGCCGTGTAACTTTTACATCACGTCATTTATTAATTTATTATTTAAAGTCTATCAAAAAAAAATTTGTTTGGTTTGTGTTTTCCAAAAAAATTTAAAAAAAAATTCTCTATAAATAAGTTTTCAAAAGTAATCAAACCAAACAAATTTTTTAAAAAAAAATTTCCAAAACTTGTTTGGTTTACAAATTTTTCAAACAAATCTCTCTCTCATGCACATCAAATCAATCACTTTTTCTAAAACCCTCTCTCAAAATAATTTTTCAAAATATCTTTTGAAAAAAATTAAACCAAACAAATTTTCGTACTTTTTATCTCAAAACATATTTTTCAAATACAAACCAAACAAGGCCTAAATTTAAAAATATATATTCTAAGAGCTTAGAAAAGACAATTCTTATTTTAATGTCAAGTCTGACGTCTCAAAAATCTATAGATCCCTGTTGCAAATATAGAAAGATCTTTTATTATTCTATTTATCTTTAGAATACTAGTTGTTAGAATTAATTTATATAAACAAATTAATATATTTTTTTTAATTAAGAATATATAAATTAACATAATAAAACTCATTGAAATATCTTAACTAATTTATATTCACATCTTTCGTTATATCATCACATGCTGTTTATGACCTTTTTTTTTTTATATTTATTATGACTCAAAAAATATGAAATTATACTATTTTATTTTTTAATTATAAGGTACATTTTTTTTTTAATATTTTGCTAATCTAATCTTATTTCTTATAACTATTTTCATTTGTCGATCGTGTAGTGGTAGCCCATATTTTGTTAATATAATCCTATATCTTATAACTATTTTCATTTGTCAAATCATGTAGTGGCGGCCCATATATGTGTATACATATAGGGCCATTTGGGAAGTGGGTTATAATCCGTTTTCCAGATTATAACTCACTTCCTCTCTCACAAAAATCTGCTTTTTACCAAAAAGTTAATTATAATCTTCTTCTCAAAATAGCCCATAGACGAAAAATGATTGAGAGCATTAAAAGTGGTATTCTAATAGCACCACTAACGATGTGACAGTGAGCGTCTTTTTTTTATCTTTTTTTTTTTTTTTTTTAGCATTCCCAATGCATTAATATTATTAATGGTCCCTTGTTTTTTGGGTAGTATGAAGGATTATTGATATATAGACATGCATAAATATGTACAATATATATAATAACAAAAAATTAGAAATTATAATTAAATCCCACATAAAATATAATTAAAAATAATTTCATAATTAATATCGTAACAAATAATAATTAAATACATAACTAAAAATAATTCTACAATCAACATCATAACGAGTGACAAGTAACATTCTAATAGATGATCTAACCAACCCTCACAAAAGTGATAACTACAATCTCGTACAAACTCCTTAGAATTTTTCAACAAAAAATACATAAAATTAAGGTAAAATTACAAATATAAGGGTTTGAAACAAAATAATTACATTATATATAAGGAAAAAATTGATACAACTCTAACACAGAAAAAGAGATCCACGAAACATAGAAACATATTTATACCATACACACAAATTACAATATCATAAAAATATAATTATTTTGAGACTATTTCACTTAAATACTAAAAATTTTCCTAAAATTAAAGGAGGTATATGGTGGGAGAGGGATGGACATACTTTAACGGCACGATCGAGGAGGAGGCGTGAGTAAGCAGGGTCACGTGATCTGAACACAATAGACGCAGCAGCAAGAGCAGCAGCAGTTTCCCCAGCCACGTCGGACCCAGGGTGGGCCCTATCAATCTTGTACGCCGTTCTCAGCGTATCCATATCCTCCGGCCTCTCCCAACAGTTATGATCCGAGTACGGATCCCCCACTTGCACATACACCACCTCCGGCACCGCCGTCGCCTTCAGCAAATAGTCCGTCGCCCACTTCACCGCCTTCACAGCGTTCCTGTGTTCCGCCCCCATACTCTTCCCGAAATCTATCACGCTCCACGACAGCAATGTCGCCGTAAACGCCATCGGAAACCCGAACTTTATGTTGTCTCCGGCGTCGTAGTAACCGCCACTCAAATCCACCTGTTAAAAAAAATAAAAGAGAGAGAAAAAACAGTGTTAGTTGTTTGGATTGAGGGAATGTGGTGGTGGCGGTGGTCGTGGTAAGGATTTTACTCCGGCGGTGGCGCCGTCGTGCAATGCAGAGTCTCTCCGCCACCGGACGCGTTGGTCAGGGGGGAGCTTGCCTGATCTCTGGCCTTCGAAGAAGAGAATGCTCTTCCGGAGTGCGTCGGCGTAGTCGTGGCCGGAAACAGAGTACTGATTCACGGAGAGGAGTGAGAGAAAGAAAATAAGAGAAAGTGACCGAAAATTCGCCGGAAAAAGACGAGGATTTCGCGCCATTTTTCTCAATTTTTTTTTTTACTTGCTTTGCTGGTGGGTGGTGGAGGAGAGGGTAAACCCGTTTTGTTTTTATAAGGAGAAATTCGTCATTGGATTCTTAGGACTGGGCCATCTCGATTTGTACACGTGGAGTGATTTGAGTGGATGACGAGATGGGATAATACCGATGAGACCAGGCTTGACCGGTTCGTTGGTGTTTTGACCGGTTGGAATTGAACCGGGTTTTAGGAGCGGCGGTTAGGGTTTTACTAGTTTCGTGAACGTTGATAATTGAGGTGGTGCGTTCAGTGTTCACCGTCAATTGATGGTGAACACGTGGACGGTCGGCGAAATGATGGACCCCACAAAGTAGGAAGAGACAATATTGGCCTTTGGATCCTTGCGGCTTGACCGAGTCACCTAATCATATCCGTTGATGCATAGAACGTCCATAATCGATATTTGGACTCCAACAGGCAAGGACTTTGGGCTATTTGGGAGAGGAAAAAAATAATAATAATAATTTTTTACGAAAAGATGTATATAAACTAAAGAAGAGTTAAATTTTTTATAATAATTTTATGACTTTTTAATTATCTTAATATATTGTCAAAATAGGCCTTTGTGTACAAAATTTAATTATAGAACTAAAGTAGACAACATGATAATGTGGGATGGAGATTGAAAGTAAATATTGTGGAATCTATGTATAAAATAAAACTGAATCACGTATTGATATTTCTTGATAATTTTTGATAAAATTTTTAAATTTGTAATATTACTAAAAAAACAATACAATTGGTAAAGTACATCTCATGTGAAAAAGATTAGAAAGAATTGCAAATCAAGTTAACATTTCAAAAATAATTACATATATATAGAAAAATTTATAACTTTAATAATTAAAATTTATAATTTTTCCCATTAAACTCAAAGAAATTTTCAACCTTCAACTGATTTGTTATTTCTCCCTAAAATATTATTTCTAATTTAATAATCAAATTTTATACGTTTATAATTTTTTATTTTATTATATATATATATAGGGCAAATTACATATACCCCCTCGAGGTTTGGCTAAATTATAGATACCTCCCTGAGGTTTGAGAAATTATGAATTCCCCCCTGAATGCTATATTTGTATAAGAAATTATGGGGTAATTTGTTATGAAATATAAACCTCAGGGGGCAAATTATTATGAAAATACAAACCTCAGGGGGCGGGATGTAATTTCTGAAACCTCAGGGGTATCTGTAATTTAGTCAAACCTCGAGGAAGGTATATGTAATTTATCCATATATATATATATATATATATATTTGTATGAACTATAGGCCAATTCTGTTAGCCAGTTAGATAACTTGGATAATTATTTGTGGTAGCTACAGTTAAGGCTAGCGTGCAAGTTTTGTACCTTTGTGTGGTCCTACACTAGCACCACCTGCATGCTGCAGCAAACTGTTTTTCACAAACCACATTTGATGATCCTCAACTAACTCGTTTCCCATATTTGCTCCAATGATGATGTTCTTCTTCCAGGCAGGATTGGGGACATTGGGGGTGTTTGGTGAGGTTTTTTTGAGTCAATTTATGACTTTTGATTTTTAAAAAGTTATTTTGGACTGTTTGCTTAAACTTATTTCAAACAGCTTCTGATTCTAACAACCTATTTTAAGTCAAAAAAACTGATTCTGAGAAGCTGCTCACCCCTTGCTTCTGATTATCAGTTTCTGCTGTGGACATGTTAATTCACGATTATACTCTTAAATTTTTTTATTTTTTATTTTTTTAAAAATATAAAAAGACCCAAATGGACTATGAAATATTATTACTATTTTTTATGAAAAATGTAGACAAATAGTGAATAATAAAAAATAAAAATTAATTAAAAAAGCTACTTCACAGCTTATTTAACAAACACTACTCAGCAACTTAAATCTATAATCCAACAGCTATACCAAACAGATTAATAGCTTCTTATTAAAGTCATAATTTATAATCTGTTAAGCTACAATCTATAATCTGTTTTAACAGTTACACCAAACAGCACCATTGACTTGTAAATTCTATATTTTTAATTTATGATTTGCTTAGGTTTTGTTTGGCAATATTACTTTTTAATCCAAAAATTAAAAAGTCACTAAAAAAATAAAAAATTAACAACTTATATCAAAAAGTCAAATATTTCATTTTCTCTATACTTTTTTCACATATTTTCGTAAAAATCAAAAAGGCATCTTAAACATATTAATTTTTTTTACATCATATTTTAGTCAAAAAAGTTATTAAAAAAGTATGTTTCCAAATGAGGTCTAGTTTCACTAAGGGTGTGTTTAATTAGACAGACTAGATAACGGGGGATTAGAATCCATCGGACTTGAGTTCTGGGACTGTGAATCTCCCGGACTATTTAGTTGGATTGAATATGTATCATATGTTTGTTTTTTCATGGGATTAGATGCCTGTAAATGACTATTTTTAGTGAATCTAACGTTTGGTTAGACGGACTGGATATGATAAATGAACAAAAGACTATTTTAACATGTTTCAATTATTTACTAAGTAATAGTAATATTAAACATATCTTTAATATTTTAATTATTTTTAGCTAGATTAAATAAAAATTTATTTTATTTTATTTTTTACACAATTAAATAAATTTATTTTTTTAAAATAAAATATCAATAAAAATATATGTTATTTTTTTAATTAAAATTTTAAATAAATTTGTTTTTAAAAATAATAATAATTAAACAATGAAATTAAATAAAACATCTATTAACATTTAAATAATGAAATTAAATAAAATATAAACAAAATTTTAAAATAAAATATCTATAAAAAATTATTTTAAAAAATTAAATAAATAAAACATCAATAAAAAGTTAAATAAAATTATTTTATTTTTAAATTGAGACATTTAAATTTTATTGAATTTTACTAAATATAATACATAATTAATAGTAGATGGTCAAAATGGTCATTTTACCACCTAATCTCAACAATAAATAATCTCCCCAAAACTGTCCCACAACCCCCTTTAGGATAGTATAATCCCCCATATGAGGAATAAGGAGTCCGGCCGGACTCCATGTCCAGCGGATTAAAAAAAAAAACAAACGATGGACTACTCACTCCTTCAAATAAGCAATCCGAATAGTGAATAGTCCCCCCCCCTAATCCCCCCAATCAAACACACCCTAAAAGTCTTAAAGCATAAAGTTCGAAAAATCAAATTAAATTACTTGTGACAAAACTCCATCAGTCTCAATCACACTTGAAACTTAGGTATTCAAAGCAAAGTTCGTCATGAATCTCTACAAATTTATAGTCTTCTTCTACTAAATTGGAAAGGATTCTACAAATATAATTTCAATTTGCGAATAAATGATTGAGTGCTCAAGTCAAAATTGTACAAATTCATCATCTACTTCGCACTACTTAGAGGAGATTTTGATGCTCGATTAGAAAATAAGTTGTCAAGCACTCAAGTCAACTTTTTGAAGAGAAGAATTAAAAGAATATTTTCTTTGATTATACCATTCATCAGAAGTTGTAATCACATTATTATTCAAATTAATAAATTTATATTCGTTATCCTATTTTCTATCCTTATTTTGCAGATAATAAATTTGTGTGTACAAATTTTGGCACTTCCAGTGGGACAATATTTGCTTCTCATCTCTTCTCCTTCTAAAAGTCTACAATCTAGGCATGGGATTTTTCTGATTTTGATGATTATGATGTTATAAAACCGAAGAATTTCGAAGAATTGGCCACACGATCTCACGACATGGAGCTTAGCATCTTGGTCTATAGAAAAGAAGAAATAATTAATGAAAGAATTGCAAAAGGAAGTTGAAGCTAAAACAACATCATATGTAGCTACAAAGATCTTATTCGAACTATGTTCTATGTATAATAGAAAAAACATAAGCCAATCAAACAAATAAAATAAATTTTCTTACATAATTAATTTATCGAAGACATATTAGAACTTCAATGATCAAATCGAGTGTATGATACTTTATCCTTAAGATAGATTCGTCGCCGCACAGGTGCTTGTGGATTAAAGGCATCTATCTCCTAGGATACAATAATGAAAACGCGAAATTGAAGTAGCATTGCAATCAATTTGCCCAGCGAACCAGAATCCAAGTTCTGTTACTCTCTTAAATCTCTCTAAAACTAATATGAATAACGATGCAGAAGAAGAGGAAAACTAGAATGGAATGAATGAATAATCCTAAAAATGGGTTACCTTTTATATAGGCTGTCAAGAACCTGATCGGAAAGGTCCGAACCAGTGCAACAATAGCAAAGGGTTGCCATTGAAGTCTTTTGGTTTGAATCTAAACAGTCATACCAGTTCAAGAAAAAGAACAAAGAAAATTGAGGAAAATTCGAGATTCAATTTATTTGTGACGCCCCAAAATAACCCAACAAAAATTAGGTACATCAACCAACTTCCATTAAGGAATACTAGCGATTTTCCAACCTTTACATCATTAATCAGTAAGGTTTGCACAAAAGTCCCACATGGGAATTATACATTCAAAGGTATAGAAATACATGAATCTATAGCATGTAGAACATCAAATTCCAAAAACAATAAATAAGATGCCATTAAGGGCTTACACATTCCAAGGCTTAAGCCCGGTTACATAAAACGGTTTTACGAACCCATACATTTATAACCCTTGGCTAGAAAAATAAATCACAAGAAAAATAGAGTCATTTACTCTTCACAAAATATGTCCACGACCTCAACTCAACCGGATCTCTACATCTTTTCCTACACCAAAATCCCATAAGGGTGAGCATAAAGCCCAGTAGAGAATCCTTAACAAAGTATATGTGTTTATGCAAAATTTCTAATATAAAATGCAAATGCCATGCAATGCCAATTAAAATAGAAGTTCATTTACATGTCTTTTAAAAAGTCACCATCTTCAACCATAGTTTGAAATCTCAACAATTCTGAAATTTACAATTTTATTCAATGGGGCGGTAAATACGACTCAGGTATTCCCTAGGTTGGTGTCTACAAGTAGGCTTAACTAGCACTACCC